TATTGTGATGTATTGTATATATGACATGCTTGGAATGAGACAATAAACTAAACTTAACTCATTAACACTGGATAATTTTACATTGAGAGATACTTTATTTTCTAATATGATCTCAATTACTATAGCATCATACTTAGTTTGATCTTACTGGATCTATGTTGGACTCATTCAAATTATATTAACCCTAATAATCAGGACTTAGCGTTCTTTTGCAATATTCTATGTAGTGAATACCTGACCTTTGTGCAGTAACGGGTTTACTCTTATTAAATCATATCGTTACTGCACTAAAGTGTCGACCTGTTTGTCTAATGCTGTCTTGTGACCTACGTTGTTATTACATGGATTGCATTCTATTCTGCACAGTTTTACTTTCATTGTGGATGTCCTCTTGACGTTTAATTCTATAAGAAGATGTATAGAAAATATGATTTGTAAATAGCACCTGAAGCATGGAACTAAAATTTTACCAAAATGTGACGAATATATACAAACAAAAAAAACACTCTGGGACGAATGCAATCTGACAAAAAAGAAGATTGTTTGTCACCAATTGAAACTATGTTATGTTTTGCCCTGTAGAGACAGACTTTTGACAACTTTCAGTTTTGATATTTCACTTTCGTTTATAGAACGATATACATTATGACTTTAAACTTCCGGTTTGAAGTCTACTACTTCTTGACCCTCACTATTACTAGTGAAAGGGTTTTGGTAATTTACATTTTTATTTGAAGGGGGGGGGGGGCGTTCATTTTAATTTCTGGATTGCACCGTTTACTGGGTTTGTATTAATTTTATAATTCAAAATTATACGTCATTTCAAGCAATGAACCCTTTGTTAGATTGTTATCTCCCTTAGATTGAGAGTACGAATAACTGTTCACTAATATGTGTTTCTATAGGCCTAAACAATTGACTACAGACTGACGTTTTGGCCTCAACCTTAGTCTGACCTAGGTTCCCTGATTCAAAGCATTTCTCTTAGCATAACAACGGCTCTCGATGAAACCTTTTTATGACAGTAAATACACTGTACGTCTTTATAATTAGGTTTTCATAAGAATTTCCTTGGATATGAAGATTGAGAGTTATAATTGGTATTTGTAGTAGAAACATATTTATGATTTACACCTTGGTTTGTGGGTAACGCGTTACTATAGTCACGCATAGGGCTATTACTGCGTCTCATTTAAGGCCTATCATTACCAATGTTTTGGTAACTCTTGAGGAATTATTTGCTTTATACTGATTTCCATATGTTTCTTGAATATTTTGCTCGAACTTTTGATCAGAAATAGAAGATATAATTTGCTTTAATTCGTTTAAACTACAAGCAGTTTTTAAAATTGTGTGTCTAAGGGACGCAACTGATGATGACGAAATAACATTCAATGGACGAGTTAACTCCGTTTCATCGTGTAATGGTTAGGTCAATTTTATCTACGGAACCCTGTAATGACATAAATTCTACGGCAGCATCCAAAGTAATAGGATGCGTAAATTGTACGTGCTTTCTTAATTCAAAAGTACCTAATCCATGTATATTTTGGTCAAAAATACATGTTTCGAAAGCATCACTATGCAGTAAGGAAAAGCTTTTTGTGTTGATCTGTGTAATGCATAACCATAGTCCGAAACGGAATTCACAGCGAAAGGTTTCTTTTCGTTAATGTGGACTAAATATGTGGACTAAATCTTTTGCGTGAGCACACGCTTAATTTTCGAAAAACTTGCAAGTAGTTAAGGAGGGTGCAATGTATAAGTAATTGTTGTACCCCCCCCCCCCCCCCCGCTCGCAACTTAATTGGCTAGTAGCTCAAAAAGAATAGTATAATTGGACCATTCACTGGTAGTACCATCGAAATGACCATAACCGAAGATGGCCGAGTATTTGCATTACCCGAGTATATAGTGTTCATCGGAGCACTATAAGTTGTATATGTTGTAGGCATTTAAATGCGTTTCCCCGAGATTAATTACTTGGAAAACCTACACTATGTGAATAATGGTTGCATAAAGTATGTGGCACCGGTGTCAGGCATGTATTTACAATAACCAGTGACGTAACACTACATTGTGTACTAATATTACGCCTTTTCACTAAAGAGGGTTAACTCCTCATATGGCTATTATGTCTAATTGTCAGATTAGGAACAGTATCAACAGTTTTTAAAAGGGGAAAGCACTGGCTTTTCATCAAAATCAGCCCCTTTTTGGCCCGGGATAGACGTATCTAAGTCATCATGATTACTTCCAGTATACAAGGGTAAGCTATTACTATGATCCATACGTCACAATCCGTCATTGGTATTACATCGAGCAGTAGGAGAATGTGAACTAAACCTTACTTTCGGCGAAATTTGTCTACTTTCTGTCTCGTCTCGACAACGGTGCAGACACTAATCAAGCATTACTGCAGTAAGGCGAAGAGCAACAGGTTGAAATTCGCAAAACAACGTTAACTTATTAATTATTCTTTGTTCAGTATCATACAGGATCTGGGAATATTAATACAGATTATTTGTTTCAGAACTTGTATGGGTTGGTTGAGCAATGAGCTGTTTGAGATTTATTCAATAGCAGGAAGTCTCTCACTAATGTTATTCGTAAAAATAATTCTTCAAAAAGTTCCATATTTTTGAAATTGGTCAAGAACCAGTACACCAGATCTAGATTAGATTCTGATCTACTTATGTTCATCACTTCGTGCCCTCTGAACTAATACTTACGGAAGCCCTGGAGGGATATTTTAAATTAAAAAATTATTACTTATTAACTACTTTTTATAACTGATCAATAATTATTTACATATTATTAATAATATTTAGTATTGAACACGTCTTGTTTGGCAGGAAAAAACTACGGAAACCCTGGAGGGACATTTATTATTTAAATTTTTTAACTTATTATTAAAAGGCTATTAATCATTATTTATAATTAATTACTTACTTACCTTTTCCCTGATATAGACGTGCTTTGATGGCTTTTTGCCCCATCCTTCTTTGAGGCCTCAAACAGTGAAAAAATGCCAAATTTAGGCCCCCAACACTGTTTTTCGTTTGAGAAATGTTGTTTAAAAAGTAACCACTTTTTCGGCGCCGCCCCCATTCAAATGTTACATCAGGGGGTTGCCAGAAGGGGGGCGTGCCCCTTCTGTTTTGGGGTTTGGAGAGAGGCGGTAGTCCAAGTAAATTTTCGACATGTGACAGGCTAAACATAGCATGAGGTCGATCTTAGGGTAACTAGTAACCTTTTATTCTATCTGACTTCATTGAGAAGTTGCAGCACTTTGAAACCAGTTTTGATGGAAAAACACAATGCAAAATAGTGATTTTTGGCAATTTTCAGACGTCCCCCGATGCCATGGTAACAGGAAATTTCCAATTGAGCATGCTGTTACAGAGGCTATGGTCTAGTCAAAATTTGTGCCAATTTTCATCAGTATTGAAGCATTTTTCATAGTTTTATAGCAGTTTGAACTTGTTACAGGAGTCTTTTCAATGAAAACGGCCATTTTCGGCAATGTTAGGCAAGATTAGACAATCTACCAGTTACAGAGGGTATGTAATTGTTTCTTTATATATTTTTAATTAAATCTTATATGTGCCAATCGATCGACGGTATATTTAACGCACGGCAACCAGAAACTGGAAAAATGATGTCTGTTTCTGACGATTCTGAATATTATAAAGAAAAGAGGAGTTCTTTATCTTTGTTACATATTGTAGAAGGCTTACCGGAGGATAAATCTTCAAGGGAATCGCGAGAGACATCGCGGGATAGAATAGACTCTATACCTGAAGAAGCACAAGGTGCTGTTCCTAGTCCACGTGCTGCTGCAGTTAATGAAGATGAACTTCCGCCTCCACCAACGGAAGAGACTGAAGAACGCCACCTGGTGCCGCATCATGACAGCGATCAAGAAACTACTCATTTATAGTTACGAAAATCATTCCGATTTATTGCTCAATGTTGTACGTGCAAAAATATTATAAAAGCAGTGGATTCAAAATTACTTTACTTATTTCATTCACCAGTTCGAGCCCGGTTGCAATTAGAGAACTACATATCCTTAGACAACCATAACAAATGATTTAATTTGACATGTTTAACTGATCTGGTTACATGCGTATTTCCTGCAAAAGCAGGATATTTTAAACACTTTCTCTGATTAATCGAAGACAAGCCTATACATGGTTTAACTAGTCGTTGTATTAAGTTTTAAGTGAATTAACTTGCATAGAACCATTGGAAATAGTGGCTACAATTTTATGTAATGCCAGTTATGAACCATAGAAATGGTGAAAATACTTCTGGAATTATTCATTCACAATGTAATCGCGTATCGCTGTATTATCAATGAGAAGCGAATTGATTTGTTGTTAGCTAATGTTGTTGAATTTTTATTTGTTTTATCAATTAGTCTTCTAGCTACAGTATATGCACTGGAATTATTTAACCGACCACAATGTTTGTTGTTGTAATTTAAAAAAAAATATTTTAACTGCGTTCCTTTATACGACTTGCAATATTTGAATATGGCATTGCATTTTGTCTTTTTGTTATATTTCTTAATATCCATAAGTTTCTTGTGTCATTGCTCTACGCTGCACCTATAAATTTGAAAGAAACTATAACTATACAAGTCATCCTATATCATTTAACATAGGCAGAGGACTAAACAACCATTCACATACTAAACGTTTATCCTGAATATTATTTGGCTCTTAAATCGTATTTTCTAAAGCGTTGAAATGCTTAACATGTTCAGATTTTTTTTAAGACATTACTATAAAGATTGCATCAATATGTTTGCATATAATAGCATACTGTACATGTATATTATTATAACTGTTCAAGGTCATTTCATCAACGTGACCAAGTCATCGGATTTTAATTATTTGTTCTTTGCCCCAATCGTAACCTAATAAGAAGAAGAAATAATTCAATATGCATATGATTATTCAAACAAAAAGAGTAAGTGTAAAGTTATTGCTTATTTTTAACATATTGGTACATCGTCTTCAAAGATCAAAGCCCCTGTAAAACTGCTAACCCTTCTTTCTGGCTCGGAATGAATCTCCGCACCGCCACCGGATAGTCGTTTTGTCCAAACAATGTCACCCTTGTTAACATGAATGATGACAGTAATGCTACCTTAATGATCATATACCGCGTCTCGGCTTTCAGCAACAACTGTTGTCTGTGTTGATGCGTTGACAACTAAGCTTACCCAAATATCAAATGTTGCCCCGATTTTTCTAGCATCACTAGACCATGAAAATATGTAAACCCCAGATTTCGGAGCTGTAAACACACCGTTGTATACATTGTACGCCGCGCCCTGATTCAGAAGAACTTTGTTGTAAACAATCGCCTGGTCGGCACCAAGATTGGTGATGCGATGGTCCAAGTAGGCGGTGAATGCAACCGGAGTTTGGTTTTGACTAAAAGGGCAGGTTGGTTCATCTTAAACAAGAAAGATATTTTAAATAGGTTTGTTTTCCTTTTTCCAGTTTTTTAAAATTTAACAATACATTCCCCAAGTTCAATGTGTTTGTGCGCGTATGTGTGTGTGTGTGTGCGTGTGTTCGCGCGTGCGCGTACGTGTGCGTGCGTGCGTGCGTGCGTGTGTGCGTGTGCATGTATTATATATTGAACATAAAAAATCTTGTGAAAAACCACTGGTCCAATTTCAACTTAACTTGGAAGGATTGACCCTAGTGTGAAATTTGTTAAAAGAATTAGATTCCATGCAGAAATCTGGTTACCATGGTAACCAAAAAAGATTATAAGAATGAATTTAAAAAAAAAAAACTTCTTGTTCAAATTATAGCCCTGGGGTCAAAATCGGCTCCGCCCTGGGGTTCATTGAATTTCACTATGTACATAAAGTAAAAAATATAAAAAAAATCCTCTTGTCTGAATGTCCAAGGCTTAGAACTTTGATATTTGGTATATATTATTATCCACAAGTCCTCTACCAAAGTTGTTAAAATTTGCCTCTAGTGTCACAATTAGCCCCGACCTGGGGATACATAGCTTTTCCATTTATGAATATATTAAAAACTTTAAAAAAAAATCATCTTTTCTGAATTGACAAAGGTTAGAGGTAAGATAATTTGCACGAAACATTGCGTAGTAAGATTTTTCAAATAAGAGCCTTTGGGTCAAAATTGGTCCCGCCCCGGGAGTCATTGATTTTCACTATGTACATGTAGCAAAAACATTTTTTAAAAATCTTCTTGTCCGAATGTACGTGGCTTAGAGCTTTGATATTTGGTATATGATATCATCTATAGGTCCTTTACCAAAGTTGTTCAAATTTTGCCCCTATTGTTCAAATTGACCCTGCACCAGTGATCATAAGTTTTTCTTATATGTAGATAGTATAAACTTAAAAAAAATCATCTTCTCTGAATTGGCAAAGGCTTGAGGTTAGATATTTTGCATGATACTTTGCATAGTGGACATCTACCAAGACCCTCTATATGTATTTCAACGTAATAAGAGAGATACACAGGTAAAATATATCTAAAAGGGGAGAGGAGGGGGGGGGGCAAAACATAGTTTAAATTGAACGAAATGTTTTGTTGTTGTTTTTTTCAAACTTGACCTACTGAGCACTACCGTGACCTTTCAAACATATTTCAAGAGACAAGTTGATATCTGAACAGATTTTTTTAAAAAGAAAAAAAAATAAAGAGAATCGGGAAGGACATAATAAAGTGATTCCTATTCCTCATCCACTAACCTCTGTCCTCCTTCACGCAAGCACACAGACACCGACGCGCACGAGGTGTAGGTAAAATAAGCCACTTTAAGTGCCATATAACATAATAAAATAAAATAAACGTCGATGTAATACGAAACAACAAAATTATCATTCAATAGTACGAAACTAAAGGGACATGTGTGAATTATATAGAATGATTTAACTTAAATATCAATCACACCGTGTATATCCAGTAACGCAGGAATGTGCAAATAACGAAGGAATTGTGCAAAAGTAACGCAGATTTGTGCAATTTAGTGGCTAAAACGAGCACCGCGATACGTACAAATTGGAAAAAAAGTGAGTTAGCGAGACATTATACTTTAAACCTTATCAAAATATATCCATGAAAATGTTTATTTTTCCAGATCATTCGTGAAAATGACGACCTGACTAGCGTCATATTTCACATAATTTAGCAGATGAAACGTAATTGGGATCATTTTTACGAGGTAACGCCGAATTCGTGAATAAAGCACCGAAGCAACGGCGGTTATCTTATTAATAAAGGTAGTCAAGCTTCCTTCTATTGCTATACGATATATGTAGTTTGACAAATGTCTTCGGAATACAGAATATGAAAAAAAGTTATAGATATGTTAAACATACATATTTATTTGACGAAACACAAAATTCACCTTCAAAACGGCAACCAGGTTGTCTTTCTCACGAATGATCTAAGAAAGTAAACAAATTTGTGAAAAAAATTGTAATGCTGGTTTAAGTATGTCGTAGCAGCCGTATGCGCTTATTATTTTCTTTAAATTTGATTAGGATAAAATATGGTTCGTTCACTTACTGTGCTATTCCTTTGGGTAATAACGTTGCACTGATAGATCTGACGTTACTTTACGAAAATTGCATATTCCTGCGTTACTGGATATGCACGGTGAATCATTCCTTAAATACTCTGTCAAATCTTTATAAAAGGACGTTTTGTTTAAGAATGAACAGAAGGTAAAATAACCTCTTTTTGATCGTTTTAGCATCTTGCCTGCAATAATTTTCGCTTGAATCCGTTCGTTCACGTGAAGTTTATCAAGTTCATTTTTCATAATTTTATTTTCCTGTAAAAGTCGGGTTGCAGTTTTTCTATAGTTTTCAACTTCAAGTTTGATAACTTTCAGTTCCTGAAGCACGTTTTCGTATTTTCATTGGCTTTTGTATTCGAATCCTCACCTCACTTTCAACCGATTTTGCATTTCCGTTATTTATTAATGCTACGACAGAAATCCACACTATACTGCTAAACTTCACCATTTAAACTTTTTTTAATGAATATACACTGGATGAGGTAAGATTTTTGTAATCTATAACCACTTTAAAATAACGCTTGTAAATAGGCCATGATATGTGCGTTGTCTTGTTTGATTTTTATCGAATACTTAAATATCTAGCCGCTGTCGGTATTCCTACGATAAGGTAAATGCATGAGTATGTTTGCTGTTTACTATGGTTGCTAAATTGTGCCATGTCGCATTTTCGCTTCGCGGGGTGCCAGACAAAGATACGCCAATGTCACCATTTTGGTCGTATCCTCTAGTTTTCGACTTGCATCCCTCGCGGCGAAAACGCTACATGGCACTTAACGGCCACCATAGTTTTCAGTGTGGCAGATATGGCCAACGACATCCTCGTTAGTGAACTAGCAAATTGTAAGTACATGTACATTTAATTTTCAAGACGTCAAATGCATATATATGTAATGCTAAAAATGAACTTGCCACAAAAGAGTATTTATAAATTCAGAATTTAAAACAGTGCGACCGCTACCTAAATGCATGTCGCAGTTCGAGTGGGTACTTTACTTCTTCCTATTACACGTTATGTTAGGAAAATGGTGACACATTCAAATAGAATGTTTATTGTAGGATATTATATGCACCAATATCAAACATTATAACTTATTCGTGGTATTATTTTAAAGTGGATTGGTCTACATATGGTACATTTTCAATAAGTATTTTCAAATACTGATGAAAGACAATATAAATATATAATTTGGATATAATTATAAATATTTCTTGATAATCCAAAATGCTCATAACTTTTAGTATTAATAGAAATTAATAGTAATATATTGTTATAGAACTTCTTTATTATCTGCTTTATAAAGCCTTAATGTATCTCACACTAATCTCACAACATCCATGTAAATTTTATTATTATTCGTGATTAAGTGTTATGTATGATACTTAATACTATAAACGTGATTATTTATGACATTATGGACCAATTCACTTTTAAAGTTATAAATAATGATCTGCAGAGAAGCTTCAAGTAAAGAACAAATATCCTTGGTCAAATAATAATAATACTCAAATGTGAATATAGATGCCTTGAAATTCATTTGATATAGTCAATATCAAATTGCATTTCTTGTCAAAAATGTACGAAGTAAACTATAAATACTTTGTAACTTAGATATCGACTGAAATAAGTAGAAAATTGAAATTATGAATCTTGTAACATAAAGTGTGGCGAATGAATACAAGTTATATAAGAACAATATTTCTTCATGAAAAGTCTTGGTTCAAGGAGGTTATTTTGATAATATTTTTGGATTGGGAACCTTGTCACATATGATGTGGTTGATGGAGAAAAACTGTAATATTTTTAATATCTGAAGATTCAAGTAAATACCTTAAAAATAAAAAAGTTATAGTCAAAAAGATTTGACGAATGCATCAGAAATCTGTACGCGGTTGGCTATTCGTGTTAGACAGTAGAGATCTCAGTATACTAACTATAGTCGAGTTTTCCACGCTGTCAATATTTAAAATTTCATAAAAAAATGTTACATTACTTTTTGATTTATCTATTTGCTTAACCGTTAGTCTATTTGTTGCCATAGCAACCACAGTTTTTAACATATGAAGAAAAAAGGCGTGCATAATTTCCACACTGCAATCTACCCATATTATATATAAAGCTTCATAATAATAATAATATCAGCACTTTTGTTTTATCACGGGATCCATTTTTGTGAACGGACGAAGTGTCGGACTGACAGACGGACGGTTAACTGTAAGTCCATTCCGTTTATACCGGTAGGGGACTAATAAAGCATTGACCTTGAAAAATCAAACCATTCCTTTTGAATTCGTTATTTTGTGAACAAGTCGCATTAAAAGGCTAGCATGACCTGATTTGCATGTTTGTCGGTAACTTTATCATCTACGGTAATATACTATCCTTGTGGATTTATAAACATTTTTATTTTTCTGAACATTTGCTTTCCTGCATCTGATCGGACCTTTGAAGTGGACAACCCAAGTGATAAAAGTTAGGTCTAGTTTTATAATGAAAATGTCGCTACTTTACGAAATGAAAGATATACGAGTAGTATTCGAACCTGCGTTATTTCGAAAAACAATGCGCCGTACTTAGCACTATGTCACTGGGCATCCACGACGTTCAAATTATCATATTTATAGTTATGCACACTTGATCGTAGTCTATATTTTCTTTATCTTATTAACCATTAACTTGTTGAACCGGAAGTGTTTTATTGTGACATCAATAAAGGGAAATTGGAACATCTCGGCTATTATCAATAGTAACCTTATCTGAAGACTGACTAAAAGTCCGAAAAGCAGGGCAAATACATGTAGTTTGTTTTTAAAATTAGCTCAATTTTCAAATAAATTGTTCCTAATTCAAACAGGGCAAGTTCATTAAAAGGGCTAGTGATTGATCGAGGTGACAAGCAGATAAGTACATGAAGTCACGAACTTGTCAGAGTTTATACGAGCAATTAAAGGTGAATGTGTACATAGTATTCTGTAGAAAGGCATTCACTCTCAGAGCTTAATCAGGACTGTGGAACAGTTCAATAATCTTTTTTATAACAACGAAGTATGACGAATATCCATATTTTTTCACATGAGCCCATTATTTGCTGAATTTGTAAAATGGATTTGCTAAGCTTTAAATCTCAAACAATCCATTCAATATTTAAGGGGTATTAATAGTAAATTACGGAGACCCGGCTGCCGTCAGTATATTGTCTGGTAATGTTTAAAGGACGTGAACGCTGGCATGACTCTAAAGTGGTTACAAAGGCTAAATACATTTGGTTTCAGCATTTAAAGGATTTACCATAGTCCCGATATCAAAATTAAGACTGTTATGTACGGTCGAACTTTTATAAGTCTTAAAAATAAAAATAAATGTTCCAATGACCAAATTTTACTGAGGGCTGGCACATATTTTACTTGGAGGTATCCCTTAAGGGCATGGCACTGACCCAAGAACAAAAATCGACAGATTCGCACATAGGCATAAGTCCCTGCATCAGTTTCTTCTCTTAGTAAAGCAAACCCGTCACGACCAGTTTAGTCAGTAAAAAAGTATTTCAATATATCAAATTAAACGTTAGGATTTTAAGTTTATGAAATTGCATGTTGCACTATCTTAACCGGTGTCACAGCATTTTTATTCAAGATGGCGTTCAAGATGGCCGCCGTCTACTTCCTGTTTATACATATGGAGATATACTAACAAACGTACAATGATTATTATACAAATGATTGAAATAAAAATATTATATTTTAAAGTGAACACTGCATCATCGTTACAGAGAGTTATTAAAATTAAATTATAATTAAAAAATTGCAAGGACATTTTGTTTATATTTATTTTATTGTTCGTTCATTGTTATGTATTTTTCACAGGCAAAATGCTTGAAATTGATTCTAGAATACATATTTCTATGAATATTTGATTTGTACAATTTTTTGTCACATTAATTCAATGTTTATACTAAGTCTGGCATATCTGAAAGTGGTATTTTTCTTCACGTATTGTCGTTTTTCATTTAAGCAGGGAGTTTTTCATCAACAACTGTTGTGTTTTCAAAATATCGTTCCCTTTGAAAGGATTAATTTCTTGGGTTGGAAATACACAAAGTTGCGATACTTTCAGTGTCATCGTATAATAAAGAAAATATAAGTTTAATAAAAAAAACTATTGCTATTTGATCTGTTTCTAAACAAAATGTCCGCTTCGCGGAATACCAAGCTATGAACTTTATATTCCTCGTTTTTTAGCAGCTGATGAAATAGAGGATAGCCAATGAGGTGCGTTTTTTGCTTGGATACTATCTTTTATGTAATAGATATACCATTGCTGCGTTGACGATTTCTGGGTTTGCGTAAATTATACCATAATCACGTGACCTTTCTTATGCCTTAACCTCACGAGACGAAGTCGAGTGAGGTTGCATAAGAAAGGTCACGTGATTATGATATAGTTTACGCAATCCCAGAAATCGCCAACGCACCAATGGTGTATCTGTTTTAACCTATAGCTCCGCCAAGAAACACTTACTCCTTCGATCTTCAAAACTGAAAATTATACCATAGTCTGGGTATGGTATAATTTACGGTTATTGGAAATAATACTTGGAAAAATTTTAAAAGGTAATGGCATATGCAATATAGAATATGTATCAGTACAAATATGTTAAAGGTAAAATTTAGAAATCTTTACAGTAGATACTTAAAACATATGACGCTGTGTAGATTTTAATTGTGTCTTTAAATGCACTTATACATAGACATTTTCTTTCGTATTGAATGGTTGAAAATAGTCCTGAATCATATGTATTTTGGAGGTTACTATTCGTGTAGAAAAGTTACTATGAAAGATCTACCAGTTTTTGATTACTACGTTATTCGTGTTCAAAAGAATCAGTGAATCATTTATCAAGGTCGTATTTTGGCTGTTATTGAAGAAAAAAATCGAATAAAGAGTTTTTTTGTTTTTTTTTTTTTTGCTTTTATTATACTTTAAAAACTGACATATGCACTTGAGTTAGTGTTAACATTTATTTTCATTGATTGTACCTGTTGAACATCATTGCCTAAAATTGTATTTTTAATTGTGATCTTTTTATACCTTCACCATTTTTCAACATTTAGGTGAACAAATTAATGAATTAATCAGATTTCATATATTTATATTTTGTTCATACTTGAAATGTTATTAGTAAAGGCAAAAATACTGCAATGTCAATGAAAAATTAATATTCACCTCAGCTATTGCCTCTGTCAATATCATTATTTTTCAGTACATATCTCATCATATTCACTAGCTAAACAGTCCATATTTGTAAAATATCTAATGTCTTCTTTTTGAAAAGTATGCAGATTCATTATAATAATATTCAAC